GAATAAAATGAAAATGGTATTGGAGATAAAAGAGCATAAGAATATCTGAACAAGCAACCAAGGTCCTCACCCACAGCCTATTTTCAACAGCAGCCGGCTAGAAGCTACAGCGAAGCTAGGAAGCATCAGTCCTCAACTGTTGTTCGTCCCCAGCTTTTGGTACTCAGATAGACTGCTGCTGAACATGGAACTTCAATTTCGCTGCCAAGCATAATTGCCTTTCAGAGTCCTATCCTCAATAAATTTGTCCAATCCATTAAAAAAAATACCTAAGTTTGTGATCTTCAACATGTTCTTTCGGTAGCAAATTCCAAGAGTCAGTTAGGCCTATGCCAAATTACATTTTTTTTGGTCTGCACTGACCCTACTGCCATAGGAACACAGGAACTGCCTTACTCTTGAGTCAGACCATTGGTCCCATTATCCCTGTAGCTCATTATTGTCTACCTGCCTATCCAGGATTTCCGTCAGGAGTTTATCCCAATTCTATCCAGGGATTCAGCCCACACAGGTGCTTTACCACTGAGATTGCTACTCAATTCCATTAGCCACCCCCCACCCCCAATTCTTGCCTTAATGTTGCTACCGTTCATTGCTTTTATGCTTTGCCTTCTCCAAGAGGAGTCACAGGTCAGCTTAACAGCCCTAATTAAAACCTCTCAAAAACAGCCCCACATTCTACACAACCAAGAAAATTAATTGAAATCACAAGGAAACAACACCAGCTTTAGAAAACAGCAGCACAACACGACGTACTCTCTCTTGCCGCACTGAACACTTAGCCACCAGGTGCCTGGCAAAATAAGTATGTTTCTAGGCAATGTCAAGATGTCACCAGGGCGAGATGACCTGATCTCAGCTGGCAAAGACAGGGAGTCACCACTGAGAAGGCCCTGTTCTGCCTCACTGCCCACTATTCTACATAAAACAATTAAATCACCAAGTATAACTCGAAGCACAAACATACGCAATGCAGAGCCTGCTGAGTCAAGCCAAAGGCCCATCTAGACTAGCATCCTTTTCTCACAGTGGCCAAGCAAGTGCCCACAGGATGTCCACAAGCAGGAGAGAAGCACAACAGCACTCTTCCTATTTGTGATTTCCAACAACTGGGAAATCAGATAATTTCCCCACTACATGTGAGCAGATTCATCTTTAACAGGCACTTGGAAGGCATCAGAGACAGTGATAAGTGGACTTCCCTGGAGAGGGTGTTCCACATACAGGACTCTAGAGGGGAAAGAAGGGCACTTATGGCATTACTGCCCCATAGACCATTGCCATCGATGGGACCATGAGCAATTGGGACCACAAGCAAACATTTACACACACTCAAGCACCCTATAGGTAAGAAAGGTACTTTAGTCTTTGGTTATTTTGGCTGGCCATTTCTCTTCTTTCTCCAGATACTTTTGAAGAATTGTAACAACTATTGCTCCCATTGTTCCAACAGTTGCAAGTATTCTTTTGCCATCAAGTCAACGTATCTGCTAATGAGGAACTTGGATAAGCAAAGCAGGACATGTTGCAGCAGACAATACAGTCCTCATGATGTGGACACACAAGAGAGTTCTAGCCCCCTACTACTGGCATCTGAATCTGCACTTTGAAACAGAATTCTTTTAAGTCAGTCTTGAGCTCCAATGAGATGAGCGCAGCCTCCACGGAGGAAAGTGTGGTTGATTGCACTCATTAACTTACATGGGATTTTACTGATTTCATGTTAGATTATATGGACAGCAGAATGCAAACCGCTCCTGAAATTACAGAACACTGTAAAATTGCTTGAGTGTAAATCCTATTGACCTCAGTGTATGAACTCTTAAACAGAGGTGTGAAGGTTGTATTCTTAGTCAATTTCCTAATAAGCCTATGCAAATCACAGAAATTATGGAAGAGAAGACAAAACCGGCATTTATATAATGATATTCATTCGTAATTTATTGCAAATCGTTGTTTGAAGTTATGTGTGTTTTATTCCGTATATTATGGGGTGTTGCTTGTTGCTTTATTGTTTTGATCGCGGATGCCTAGAGTTGGTTTAAACATCATTTTCTTTAGGAAAAGCAACACAAAATAAGTTAATATTTTGGGGGCAAAAAAAAAATGATCTTCCTTCAGGCAAATAAAAAAAATGCATTTCCTCAAACAGATCTGTCCTTTAAAAAAAACACACACACACACATACAGCCTATCTATTTGCCAACCTGCCAACACTGCTTTTCATTACCTAGAAACAGGCAAGAAGTGAGCGAAATTGAAATTAAGGGAATGTATGATTTCTGCAGCCTTCAGATGTGAAAGCACACAAATGAACATTCCTCTCATTCAGACACTATTGTCCCTTAGGGGGAAAGGCTAGCACTTTGTGCTAGTGACAGCCTTTGTTCCCATGACCTGGGATATATCAGCGTGGTTAGGCAGGAAAGATTCATCAGCTGTTCTCATTATTCCCTTAAAAAAAATCTGTTTCCAGAGCAACAAGGATCCTCAATTATTAGACTGTGTAAAATGAAGCTTAAAGCCACTCAGTCCTCATTATTAACATGTTTGCATATTCTGACAGGCGGTGCCATCAGACAGATGGAATGACCATCATGAAAAGGAGAAGACAAATACAGTAAGAGAGAAGGACTCTAGCATGTGCTGGTTTAAAACACTGTTTTGGAATGGCCCTCAAACAGGATTTACTCTCAGATATCAGTACATCAGGACAGGTCTATAGCTGGAACCTTGGCTTGGTGGGTGAGGGGAGAGATGGCATAAAGAGGTCTGGGGGGGGATTTAATTGCATTTTTATGTATGGGGGAGGAGATGCTGTCTTAATGAGACACACTTGCATTTAAAGCAGGTTTCCTGTTAATTTACTTTTCCTGAAAGTAATTGCACAACACCCCCAAAAAGCAACCTCTCAGTCAGTTTAAAGATTCGGAATATAAAGTTACCCATTAATTAAGGCAGTGAGTTAGACTATAAAATTGTGATGGCAGGAATGCGTGTGTGTTGAGGAGAGTACTCAGAACACAACTAGGGTATATTAAATGAAGGGGCATATTCTGATAATTTTCTTTCATTGGGGGGGGGTCTGTGTCAAAGTCAGTGCCCCCTCCCACATATCCCTTAGTTACAGACTTCCATGGGAGATTTTTCTGAAGCCTACATTGGAACAGTCGCTGCCTCTGTTGTGTTCAATCAAGACCCTAAGTCAACATCTCTTGCACAAAGAGCCCATGACACTCAGCCTTGGCTCCTTATGCATATCAGTCTGTTGGGTCCTGGGCTTCCCATCCAGCTGATTGTCATCTGAATTCCCCTGCCGCACAATCCTGCCACGAAAGCACCCTGTCAAGTTTGGTCCCGTTTTGTTGTGTGCGCATGTGTTTAATTTCACACCGGCCACAGGAAACGGCTCCCTTCCCAGAACCAACTGTTCTCGCAATTAACCCACCACCGCACACACACAAAATCCCAAACACAATGCCTTGCTGCTGCTGCTGCTGCTGCGCTCCTTTGAGAACCCCAGTGTGTGAGTCACTGCTAGAAAGATTTGCAATTCAGTGGAAAGAGTTTTATGCTTCAAAAGGAGGAGAAAGTGAAGGGGAGGGCTTGTTGGTGGTGAAAGCCTTCTTCTCTCACACACTTATAAATAGAAAAATGGGGTTGCAGACGTCAAGCTCTCCCACCCCCACTCCCAGCCTCTCTCCCTCTCTTTTTCAACACTCGCTGTTGTGTTTCCTACTTCTTGGTGTGTCCCGAAAATTGCTTTCTCGATGGGGTGGGCCAGAGGGTGGGATTGGTGACTTAATTATTACTCTGCTTGTTCCATCTCCATGGTGACTTCTCATGCCAACAGCTGATCCCCTCCCACTCTATGAGACAACCTTCTCTTTCACTCTGTTAAAAGGGGCAAGTCAGGCACATGCCCAAGCTTCGATTAAATTGCCCAGGTAAATTAGACTATGTGTGGGAACCAACACAGATCAGCTTAAGTAACCCAGCTCTGTCCTGACTGCTCTCAGCTCTTGGATGGTCTCACAAGGAGCAGGCCGTGTTGATTTTAGCCGTTTTATTTTCAGTGTGTTTGCATGCCTGTAGATTGAGAGGAGTGGGATGGGCTGGATGTCGTGTGGGGTGAGAGCGAGACAACGGAGCTTAGGCAACTTTCCAGGATAAAGCAGCTCTTGTCACTTTGGACTGAGCATCCCTCTCCAATGATGGCACAAGGGAGAAGCCAGTCTCTTCCAACTGCAGGCAAAAAAAAGCAGGGTGAACTAATATTATTGACTAGCATCTTCCCAAGCAGGTGAACAGCATCAGGTAACTGTCAGCCAGGTGGAGCCTGAGATCACCTGTTCTGAGTTTTTACTGCCTGAGAGGCCCGGCCATGACTGCTTGCCCTCTGATGCAGAACTCGTGGAGTTGGAAATCTGGTCTCTGCCAATGACTTCCTGAGCTGCCTTGGGCATGTCCCTTTCTCTCTGCCTCGCTTCCTCATTTCTGAATAAGACAGCCTGTTTCAAGGAGGAAGGGGTACTGAGAGAGGACGGAGTATCTAAGGTTTAAGGAAGCTTGCTGCCCAGTAAGAGGGTGGCTGAAAAATTTCGGGGAAGAATCCTGGCTGTTTCCCCCTCTGAAATGCTTCCTTCAGCTGGCAGAGGGGAGCGTTGCCCTTCCGAAGGGCCAGGATGGGGAGAATGCTCTCATGTAATCCTATTTACAGCTAAGCCACTGCATCATTTCAGGACTTACTGCAGAGAATATGTTCCTAATTTCCTTCTGCCCTCCCTTCTCTGACAGGCTTATTGCCAGATTGGCAGATGCGAAGACACATAGGCACACACCCATTCCCGATCTGTTTCCCTCTCCCTCTCTCTTCCTCTGCCTCTACGACTCTCTCCCATGCCTCACCACCCAGCCCACATCCTCTGCTATACTGGGAGGAGGAGGAGGAGGAGGGGCGGGGAAGAGAGAGAGAGAGAAAGTCCCGCTTGCATTTTTACCTTGCTGCTCCTCGGCGTCAGTCCCGGCGGTGTCCCCGAGGATGCTGGGGTCGCTTTGTGACCTGCCTCTGGGGAGAAAACAGCCAGTTCCTTCTTCTGATGCAGCCATGAGGGGGTGGGGAAGGGAAGGGAGGGGAGGGGGGGAGGGGAGGGGAGGGGGAGGGAGAGAAGATCTCAGAGGCCGGAGGAGGAGGAAGAGGAGGAGGAGGAGGGAGAGGCGCTCATGAAACCGGAGGCAGCCCAAGGTCACGACGGGGAAGGGGGTGACCCGCTGGTGGTGGTGCAGAGCGCGCCTCTCTTCTCAGCCGGGGAGTCCCAGCAGCGGGAGCATGCTGGCAACCAGCCTCCGCCTGCAAGCGCCCCGATGCCAAGCAGTCCGCTGGCACCATCCAGATGCAGGGATGGGCGTCCCTCCCAGCGCCTGGGGGATCCTAGGGCTCGGCGGGGCGCTGCAGAAGTTTCTTCCTGGGCATCTTCTCCTCCGGGTGGCGAAGGCTGGCTTCACGCTGCCTTGGTCAGAAGGAAGGCAAGGGGGATGGATGGCAGGTGAGGTGAAGGGAGGAGGTCGGAGTGAGCCAAGTCCTAGGCTCAGGAGGAGACTCTTCCCATATCACGGCCAGGCAGAGGAGAAAAGGCAGGCGAAAATAAAATAAAGCACGCGCACCCACCCTCCTTGGAACTGCTTGCTTGCTGCCGCTGCTCTTCTTCGCGCATCTGTTGGGAAACAGAGGGATTCTCCCATCATGCCCTGCGAGAGTAGGTGTGACATCACCGGGGATGGGGGGGAGAAGGAGAGGGGGGGAGAGAGGAGGGAGGAGGAGGGGTCGTGGGTGGGAGAGAGCTTACCTGCACTGCACAAAAGAGGAGGAAGGAAGGAAAGGAATGGGGAGCAGCAGGTGTGCGCGAGAGGCGGAGGCCTCCTGCCTTCTCCGACCTGACACCTTCACACGCCCCTGACGAGGAGGGAGAGGCGAGGCGAGGCTGGTGGAGATCCCGGTGGCAAGACGCAAGAGCTGCCTGCGCTTCAGACTTCATGGCACACGCACGTTCCGGCACACATGGTCGCGGCGGTGCGGGCCATGCGTTTCCCTTGCCTAGACTTTCTCTAGACCCAGGCAGGGGGTGAGGGGTGCGTGTGTGTGTGTGTGTTTTGGTAAGGATCCTGTGGAACTGGAAAGGAAGAGATGTCTAGCATCCAGGAAGCTGCCTGATACGGAGTCAAACCGAGAAGCTCAGTATTGCCTACACTGAGTGACAGCTGCTGTCCAGTTTTTCAGGCAGTTTTTCAGGCAGGAATCTGATCAGTGTGGCGCTGATAACGCCAATGTTGCAGGTTTGCTCCAGCTGCATTGCAGGGGGTTGGACTAGATGAACCTCGGGGTCCCTTCCGGGGTGGGGGTGGTTGAATTTGGGACCTCCTGTGTTCAAGGCAGACGCTCATTTGCTGGGCTAAGACCCTTCCCAATCTGCAAACCCATCTTTTTATTTTTCTCAACCGCTCCTCAGAATGGTGGGAACACTTGGGAAAGCCCATCCTCTTTCTCACACACTTATTGATTGACTGGCTGGCTGATAGATAGGCTTACATATAAGCTTGGTGGTGAACACGACACATGACACCCATAAAAGCAGCATCAATATACTCATTCAACATGCAGCACACAATCATGGTCACTGTGTGTTGCTGACCGCATGTATGCTGTTTGGGGAGTGCATTCCTGAATAACTGGTGGTTGAGCTAGACATCAGGAAACGTCTGTGTGAACAGAAGTGATTGAAGCAGGAGCCTGAAACAGCTTAGCCCATGGTGTTTGCATAATAGTATTAGGCAAGGAGTTTCGCTGCCCAGGCAGAGATGCACCCACCATTCTTTGTCTTGTAGAAGCAAAGCGAATATTTATTTGTGTGTTATTCTTTCAGAATTTATGAACCAATCTGCATTCAAAGAATATCATAGTGGTGTGTCAAAGCAGGATATAAAACCTAATGCAAGTCCATACCACGATGTTAAAAACGTGACACCACAAAAAATTAAAAGCTGCAGAAAGAAAAGGGACTTACGCTGCAGAAGTAAGTCCCACTGAATTGAATGGGATAAGTGAACTGGGGAGTAGGATTGCAACATAATTTGGGAAGGCTTGGAACAAAAGGACAGTTTTCAATGAACATCAGAAACATAACCATTTGAGGGCTTGGTTCACTTCAGGTCACAGCATGCTTTCCTGCAATTGTGCTGTGGTGCCATGAACAGAACTTCATCCACAGATCTAAGCAACCAGGGGGTGAGGCAGAGGGGGAAGCAGCTTCTCAGATACCCTGGTTCAGAACCATGTGAGGTTTCATACATCGTCAGCAAAACGTTTCATCTAGCCCAGTAGCAAATTGGCAGCCTGTGCAATGCTTTTAGCTGATCCTGAGAACAACTGTGCAGCTGCGTTTTGCAGTAGTTGCAGGATCCGAAACAAATTGAAGGGCAGCCTTGTGCAAAACAAACTAGAAGTTATCGATGGGTGGACTGCTGTGGCCAAGATGTCCCGGTCCAGGCACATGTAACAGGCACCCTCCAGCTGCATGTAAAGATGGGGCTGGTTGACCACTATGAGAACAGGGGGCTGGATTAGATGGGCCTGATCCAGCAGGCTCTTCTTATGTTCTTATATATTCTGAGTAAGTAGTTCCCTCAAGTAAGCTGCTGCCAAGCTGTTATATCAGGCCTTGCACTGCAGGGCACAACACAGCTTTGCAGTTCCCTCTCTACTTCCTGGTTATGTCATTCCACAAAAAGTCTGAGAACACAGAGTTGGCCATGCACCACCACGGGTGCTTTGGTTGAGATTCCCGCATTGCAGGGGGTTGGACTACTTGATCCTTGGAGTCCCTTCCAACTCTAGGATTCTATGAGCTATGGTTTTTTGAAAAGCTGGGGCCCTCCAGGTGTTGTGGGAGTCCTTGTTGTTGTTGTTCAGTCCTCAGTGGGCTGCTTTTGTGGGGAGGGATGTCCTTTTAGGTTTATCAAGATATACAGTAGATACATATATATATAGATAGATAGATAGATAGATAGATAGATAGATAGATAGATAAACTTCAGCTAATAATAATAATAATAATAATAATAATAATAATAATAATAATAATTTATTTATACCCCGCCCATCTGGCTGAGTTTCCCCAGCCACTCTGGGCGGCTCCCAATCGAATGTTAAAAACAATACAGCAATAAATATTAAAAACTTCCCTAAACAGGGCTGCCTTCAGATGTCTTTTAAAGATAAGCTAGCTGCTTATTTCCTTCACATCTGAAGGGAGGGTGTTCCACAGGGCAGGCGCCACTACCAAGAAGGCCCTCTGTCTGGTTCCCTGTAACCTCACTTCTCGCAATGAGGGAACCACCAGAAGGCCCTTGGCACTGGATCTCAGTGTCCAGGCTGAACAATGGGGGTGGAGACACTCCTTCAGGTATACAGGACCAAGGCCTTTTAGCACTTTAAAGGTCAGCACCAACACTTTGATTGTGCTCGGAAACATATTGGGAGCCAATGCAGATCTCTCAGGACCAGTGTTATGTGGTCCCAGCAGCCACTCCCAGTCACCAGTCTAGCTGCTGCATTCTGGATTAATTGCAGTTTCCAGGTCACCTTCAAAGGTAGCCCCACACAAGAGCGCACGGCAGAAGTCCAAGCGGGAGATAACCAGAGCATGCATCACTCTGGCGAGACAGTCCGCAGGCAGATATGGTCTCAGCCTGCATACGATGGAGCTGGTAGACAGCCACCCTGGACACAGAATTGACCTGCACCTCCATGGACACCTGTGAGTCCAGAATGACTCCCAGGCTGCGCACCTGGTCCTTCAGGGGCACAGTTACCCCATTCAGGACCGGGGGTCCCCCAAAGCACATCTCCTTCATGATTCTGAGCAGCCCTGTTGGGGGGCAGGAACTTCCCACCGGAGTTTGCTATTTGAGGGAAGAAAGTAAGTTTTAGCTTCCCATGTGCAATACTTACTGCATTTGTAATAAATTAAAGAGCATCAGTCGTTGCCTGTCAGGAAGGAGAATGTTATACAATTCTTCTCCTCGACATGCTAGCTTTGCACGTGCTAGAAGGTCAAATATTCAACCCCAGACCCATGATGCTGTCTAAAGATATAAAGTACAGGAAGAGTTTTACCTTCTGAACCTGCGGGTTGCATAGTGTGGTTATTTGTTGTGTTGCAGTAAACCATGGATCGTACAGTAAGGTTGCCAGATCCATCCTGAAGGGGAACTACAGTGTACGGCTTAATTCAGTGGCAAAGCACATGGAAAAGGGCTGTAATTCAATGGTAGAGCAATTGATTTGTATGCAGGACATCCCCAATTCAATGACCAGCATCTCCAGGGAGGACAGAAAAAGGCTGGCCGTGTGAAACCCTAGAGAGCCATTACTAGCCAGTACAGAAAATTCTGGGAAATGATATATAATGAATTGAAAAAGATGTTTAAAATAGCACTGGGGGGGGAGGGACAAGAAGCTTTCATTTTGGGAATTACAGGGGTAGAACTACCCAAACAGTATAGAAATTTATTCATGTATGTGACTACAGTGGCAGGAATGTTATTTGCCCAAAAATGGAAAGAAGAAGAAGAAGTCCCAACAAAAGAAGAATGGATACAAAAACTTGTGGAATATGCAGAAATGGCAAAACTAACCAGAAAAATAAGAAATCAAGATAGCAAACATTTTAATAAAAGAATGGAAATGGTTTATTGAATATCTACAAACAAACTGTAAACAGGTTAAGAACATTGGCAGGATAATTGTAATAACCTGCAGTTTTATAAGAGTACATATTTAAAGGAGATGACTAAATGAGTAAGTTAAGTTAATTTAGAATATGCAGGAAATGTAAAAAAATAAATTTAAGGAACCACAAAAAGAGGAGGAAGGAGTTTCGAAACATTAGAAGGATTGTAAAACTATTGAAATGTATATAACTGAAAATCATAAATAAACATTAAGAAAAGGAAAGAAAATACTGGGCTAGATGGACCATTGATCTGTTTTAGTATAAGGCAGTTCCTGTGCAAAGCATTAAGTTCAATCTCTGGCATGTCAAATTATCACAGGTAGCAGCTGTGGAAAAAATCCCTT